AGTTGCGTTTGTCACCGTGGTCATTTCTGGCATTGTTGTTGCGTTTGTGACTGTGGTGATTTCTTGCATTGTTGTTGCGTTTGTCACTGTGGTCATTTCTGGCATTGTAGTTGCGTTTGTCACCGTGGTCATTTCTGGCTCTGTTGTTGATTTGGTCTCAACAATTATTTCTAGTGTTGTTGTGTTTGTCACTGGTGTCTTATTTGGTTTTGATGTTGCATTTGTCACCACTGGTGCGGTTGTTGTATTCAATGTACCTATCAAGAAATTGAGGAAAATTGTCACTATAAAACATGTATAAACCCTTATTGTAAAATACATCACAGAATAAAAAAATAATTTCCATACCAGGACACAGAAGGAAATCTGTAAAAAAAAACAAAAAAACAAAACAGGAATCCAAATGTATTAGTTGGAAATTTTATGTAAATCCTAAAGCAATATTTTAAAAATATATGCTTACCAGTGATTGGCTGGCAGTACTGGTCAACAAAGGAAGGTTCATATATGCATGTGCAGGTTTGACTGCTGTCACTACTACATGAATTGTAGCTGTTGCACATATCACATGGCAAGGCAAAACCATCCTCACATTTACATTGCAGGCCATAATTGGAGTTTGGCTCACAGACTGTTAAAGGAATTTAACTCAATTAAAATGTTCATTATATTTTTGAATGTGTACATTCTCTTGATGTACATACATTTGTAACCTACCTTTGGTTAGATTTAGTTCTATTACTGTTAATGAAGGTGAGAGGATTAAAGGGAAGCTTTCATTTTTTAGAGTCGCTCTGAACAAGTCAAGTAAACTTGGTGGGGCGCTGGTCACTGGGATGAACACTTCATAGACCACATCAAGCACCTCTGGACAATGAAACAAACAATCCCATTTCAGTTTTCATGCTAGAAGTTGGGAATCATTTAACAAAGTTAGTGATCATTAAGGGCACTATTTCATACGTTCACCGTGATAGTAAAGTGCTCAATTAGACCCCAAACAGCCACAAATATCACTTTTGCATGTGATATGAAACCTATATCTGTGATACATGCAATCTCAAAAACAATAATTAAAAGTAATCAAATTGCATACCATATTTTCAAATAGTACTGTTATTGGAAAGGCTGATGTCTTTATATATGAATAGGATGAAACTTGAAGTATTTGCATTGGTATTATTTTAATGTTAACAATTTTCCAGTAACCTGACAAGCCAGCATAAGGTTTACATAAAATATATTTTCTAATTTATATTCATTATTCAAATGTTCAAACCTATTTGTTTTATTTGAATACTGTTCAACCATTTATTTTCCCCTTGAGAGTCTTAAAAACTCATTTTCCTTTTCCAGAGAACATTATCTGTACTAAGCGATCAGTTTTCACATTTTTTCACAAGCTCACACTGAGAGCTTTGTTTGTAATCATTATGTGGATCATACGTACCATAAGCTGTTGATGGATGAGATGGTGTTGTACTTGGCACTGCCTCTGTCATTGTTGGCCCTGCTGTGCACAGAAAATGTGCACGTTATCACCCTTATTAGCATTTATATGGGAAAATATAAACATTGATACTGTATTGAACTGTATTCAGCAAAGCACCCACACAAAGTGGGCAGAGGTTCACCTATTAACACCACACAAATATTACATCCCTGTTCCTTTTAAGGAGAAAGCTCCAACCTCTACAAACCAGTATGAACTTTTGTGCCATAATACTGGATAACAGATCAAGTGTAACATAGTAGTCAAAGCATCAAAACAAACAGCAGCATTGTCAGCAGCAGATGTGCATTGTTTAGACAACCTTATCTGAAAAAAAATCAGTGCTTGTACAAAGTTCCTCACATATGGTTTGTAGACTGCTGTTAGTTGAAAGTCCAGCTACATGCTAATAAACCATCCATTACCAACGATCTTGATTGATTACTAAGTCTGATGTGAGTGTGGTCTGTACTGTGGGGTGTATGGTCACATGTTTGTTTAGCAGAACTAGGTGCTAGTGATATAGCATAAACTTATTTTTGTGTCCATAGTGTTTCAAAAGACAAAGTGGGAAAGTGTTTGACAGGAATTTCTGGTATATACTTATCTAGTTTTACAATTTCAAATATCTTAGGTGTACTTCTAAATTTTTTTTTGTATCCATTATATACGTAACAATTTTTACAAGCTCTAATAAACATTGTGATCTTCATGGAGAGTTATTCCCATTCCAGGAGTAATTTGAGTAGTTATTGCTGTTGTACTTTATCCCATTTATCTTTGTGTTTTGTGAATGAGTGTTTTTTTTTTTTTTTATTTAGATTATTTTTGGTTGATAATATATTCACAGAGTGTTTTATAAAAGTTAATATTTTTGTTTTACAGTAAACACTAGTGTTTTCGATACAGTCTTTTGGTTTTTGTTAGTGTACCAACACTGGCTCTTTTTATTCCCACAATGTTAATTTCTAGGTTTATTAATCACCTTCCCTCAAGTCTCCTATTTTAATTTTTTAATGTCTCAGCGAAACTCATCTACTCAGTCACTTTTTTGCCACGTTGGCTACTTTGCTGTATATTCAAGATTTCTGGTTCTATTTGTGTTATACTGTAAGTTATCATATTGTTCCTGACTGAATATTTTGCATTTGGGTCAACAACAAAGCAAAACATGATTTTGGATAAAATGTGCATAACTAAATTAACTTTGATCAGTTTTCTGGTAAAGAATTCATTTATTCTCATTGGTAAAAAATCCAGGTAGATTCAAGTTTTGAGTTTTTAAATATGTTTTGAAATATGTTTTAAGATAAATCACTAACTTTGTTTATGTAAACGACTACTTGTGTCTTTCACATACCTGGAGCAGAGGTTGGGCAGAAAGAGTTATCTGTGAATCATAAGAAGAATTAATGATTCTGTATTTGTACAGAAATGATAAAGAATATTTACAGTAGTAGCTATATCTGATTTAAGACAACTAAAAAAACACAACAACACAGCAACATAATATTTGTAATGGTTCAGAACAAAAGTAATATTTTACTGAAAAAATAGAGGATATCAATGATGTTTTTCTAAATTTTGACCAGTCAAACAATATACCTATATTTACTTCTGGATAAAATTCCATTGTCAATGAAAGGGTTGTGCACCAATAGGAATAGTAGGTTGTCGTCACATGAAATGGAGCTTAGGCGCTGCCAGATTCTAATCACTCTGTGACCGAGCTGAGAAATGACTTTTTCGCAGCATTACATTACTCTTATTCAAACCAAAAGAACAAAAAAGCAGCAAAATGAGGTGAGCATTGGTCTAGCTTTTTGTGCCAACTAAAAATAAAGGGGAACAAAAGCAATGAGGGGGTTGCCCCCATCCTTCTGGACAACCAAGCTCACTACTTTCAACTGACTGGCAAACAGTGCAATAGAGGGTTGGAACTAGAGCTAGCGAAGGGAAGTGCACCACTAACTGTTTGGGAGGAGTTAAACTTGGGTTAAATTTGAAACAAACCAATTTAACAAGGTATTACTTACTTGTGATTGGCTGACAGAACTCATTGTCAGATGGAAGTCCATAAATGCATGTACAGGTCTGACCTCTGACATCACTGCATGGATTACTGTTGTTGCACATCTCACATGGCCAAGCAAAACCATCCTCACAATTACAAATTAGTCCGTTAGTGGAGTTTGGAGAGCAGGCTGTATGTGTGGAAGATAAATGTCATACAACAGTTATTAATAGCATCGTAGCTTTATGTTGGTCATTTCCAACCAGTACACAAGCTACGTATGTAACAACAAGTTACGTTTATACCAAAACCAATCAACAATCTCTTCTTTCCATAGGATTATCATGAAAATCTAACTTTTTTATAAGCCTATGAACATTTAAATTTATCGATACAAGTATTACTGCAGAACAAATTTTCAACAGAGGTTCCATTCTTGTGAATCTGGATGAGAAGTCTAAGTCATTTATCTTCTTTAGCAACTGATTCCTGTAACACCTGATGAAGGAAATATAATCTATAGGAGTCATGATTTAGTTCTAGAAAACCAATGTCCTGCAGCTTTAAGGTTCTTCCCTGGTCAAACACATCTGAGTAAAACAACTGAGTTAACTTAGTCATATGCAGTTAAACTCCATATAGCTCCACTATTTATATAATGGTGTGAATAAAGTGAGATGATGCAGAGTAGCTTTTAATGGTTGCTGGACATAGATCCTTGATGATCACTTTGGCACCATTGAAGCAGATTGTTACTAAATTATTACCTGTGGTAAACAGCAACTCTTTTACTTCCAAAGATTGGGAGATGGTTATAGGGAAGGTTTCATTTTTCAGAGTCTTTCTAAATAACTCAAGTGTATCAGCTTGAACACTGGAGAGAGGAATCCTCAGTTCAAGCATCACATCAATTTCCACCAGATCTGTGGATATAGAAAGGAACAAATCTTTACATCAGTTGGACGAACCATGGGAAAAAAATTAATACAAAATGAACAGTACTGATTATACTTAAACCTCACTTAGACCAAAATTATTAATATCCCAGGAATTTGTAGAATAAAATCCTTTAAAACTTAGGATATTTCAACAATCTAAACATTTTATTTTTAACAGAAATGAGACCAGCATCTCCCAAAAGAAAAATCTTCATTCGTTAAATTGTTTGGATCGTACCATATGTTGTTGTTGGAGGAGATGGAGTTGTACTTGGCGTTACCTCTGTCATTGTTGTCAATACTGCACATAGAAATTATACTCATTAATGTCCTTATTAGTGTTTTTATGGGAAATTGTAAGCACTGAGAGAATACAAGCATTACTTAGAATAATTTATGTATAACTAAATTAACTGTGATCAGTTTTCCTTTTTTGTATTCTCTGAGGCTCATTTTTAAAGAATTCAGGCAGAATTAAAGTTTTAGATTTGTTTGAATGAAGTTCATCAATAAATTTGTTAATGCAAAGAACTACTTTTGTCTTTCACATACCTGGAGTAGCGGTTGGGCAGAAAGAGTTATCTGTGGATCAGAAGCAGATCAGATGTTTCTGTATTTCTCCAGAAA